AATGTTTACCTGTGCTTCATTGGCTATGCAAAGGCTTTTGACTGTGTGGATCACAAGAAGCTATGGTTGATTCTGAGAAGAATGGGAATCTCAGGACATTTGATTGTACTAAGGCGAAACCTATACTTGGACCAAGAGGCAGTTGTCAGAACAGAGGGAGGAGACACTACATGGCTCAAAATCAAGAAGGTGGTCCATCAGGGATGTATTCTATCCATACTCTTTCAATCTGTATGCAGAACAGATCATCCGAGATGCTAAGCTGTACGAGGAGGAATGTGGCATCAGGATTGGTGGAAGAGTCATTGACAACCTGCATTATGCAGATGACACAACCCTGCTTGCTGAAACTGAGGAGGATCTGAAGCACTTGCTACAGAAGGTCAAGGAGTGCAGCCTTCAATACAGATTGAAGCTCAATATCAAGAAAACAAAGATTCTCACCACTGGGCCAATTGGCAGCATCAATATGGATGATGAAGAGATTGAGATAGTTAACAGTTTTAGTTTACTTGGCTCCACAGTCAACACTCTTGGTACCAGCAGCCAAGAAATCAAGAGACGAATTGCATTGGGAAAGTCAGCTATCAGGGACCTCTCAAGAGTACTGAAGAGCAAAGACATCAGGCTGGAGACTAAGGTGTGCCTGATCCAGGCTATAGTCTTTGCAATTACATGCTAGACATCAGAGAGTTGGCCAGTGACTAGGAATGACAGAAAGAGAATTGATGCCTTTGAGCTGTGGTTCTGGAGAAGAGTGTTGAATATACCATGGACTGCTAGGAGAACAAACAGGTTTGTCCTGGAGAGAGTGAAGGTGAAATACTCTTTGGAGTCAAGGATTCTGAAGCTTTGTCTGACATACTTTGGGCATATTGCAAGGAGGGACTGGTCCTTGGAGAGGAACATCATCATGTTTGGGAGACTGGAGGGATGGCACAGGAAAAAAAGACCCTTGATGAGATGTATTGATTCTGGGATTGGGGTGGTGAAAGTTAGTGTGTCAGAGACAGTGAGGTTGGCACAAGTTAGATCAGGGTTTAGGACTCTTGTACATAGGGTCGCTATGAGTTGCCAAAGACTCAACAGCACATAACAACAACAACTCCTTTATCACCCATCCACCTTTCCAAGCATGTTGTCCTTTTTCAAGGAATAATCTCTTCTGGTGACATACTCAAAATATGTGAGGAAGTTTCATTATCTTTGCTTCCAAGGAGTACTCTGGCTGAACCTTCTCCAAGACATATTTGTTTGTTCTTTTGGCTGTTCATGAGATATTTGGCATGCTTCCTTAGCACTACAGTTAAAGGTGTCTATTTTTCTGTAATCCTTAATCATTATCCAGCTCTCAGATGCACAATAAATGACTGAAGAGACCAGCATCAGGCACATCTAAGTCTTCAGTGTGATATGATTACCCCTCAATAGTTTGGAGATCTTCCTATCTACAGACTTTCCCAGTGTAATATGTCTCTTGACCTCCTGACTCTTTGTGCCAACTATATTGACTGTAGATCCAAGTAAAATGAAGCCATTGAAAGTCTTAATCTTTTCTCCTTCAAACATGATGTTGCCTATTCATCTAGTGGAAAGGATTTTTGTTTCCTTGATGTTGAGATGAAATCCATATTGAAGGCTTCATGTTTAACTTCTGCAGCAAGTACTTCAAGTCTTCCTCACTTTCAGCAAGCAAGGTTATCTCATCCACATAATGAAGGTTATTGAGTATTCCTCCATTCCTGGTGCCATATTCTTCATCACAGAGTCCAACTCTCAAATAAATTGTGTCTCTAGTTAGGTTTATTGTGATTGGCTATTACAAAGAGTATTGTTTTCTTAAATTTATTCTCTGTATTCTCTTAGTTGCTATAGAGAAATCCCCCTGACTTTTGTATATTAATCTTATATTCTGCCACTCTACTAAATTGGTCTACTATGTCTAGCACTGGTCTTTCAATTTGATGTACAGAAGTAACTCGTGGTTGCTGTGATACTAAACACTGTGACACTGATATGTAAAATGTAATAATGGTTACCCATGGTAGACAGTGTTTGGTGGAGCTCCCAGATTAAAATAGCTTGGAAGCAGGCATGGCATCCACTTCCAAAATAGCTTGCCTCTGGAAATTCTATGAACTTAGAGGACTATGATTGTCATACAATAGGGTTCAGATCTTTTGTTCATAGAGGTGCTATGGGTCATCTGTGACTCGATGGCAATTAACAACAACAATGTCTAAAAGGTTATTTTGCTGAATTCTTGGTATTTTCTGTATATATTATCATGTCATCTGCATAAAGTGACAGTTTCAAAACGTCTGTGCCAGTTTGTTGCTATTGTTGTTGTTATGAGCCATTGAATTGCTTGCAAGTCATAGTGACAATATGTACAATAGCTCTGAACTCTGCTCTATCCTGAGCTCATCTCACTGTCTCTGACAGATCTATCACCATTATCCCAGTTACTGTGTTAATCTATTTCATCTAAGATCTTCCTCTCCTGTGCTATACCTCTACCCTTCCAAGCATCATCAGGCCTTTCTCTAAGGACTGATACCTCCTGGCCACATGCCCAAAATATGTGAGCTAGAGTTTCAAAATCCTTGCCTCCAAGAAGAAACTTGGTTTCACCCTCTCCAGGATAAACTTGCTTATTCTCTTTGCAATCCAAGGTATGTTCAGGATTTTTTTCCAGCACCACAACTCAAAGGCATCAATTCATCTTCTGTCATCTTTCGTCATTGTCCAGCTCTCTGATGTCTAGCAAGTAATTGTGAAGACCATGACCTGAATCAGGCATACCTTAGTCCCCACACTGATGTTGTTATTCTTCAGCACTTTTGAGAGGTACTTTAGAGCCGCATGTCCCAGAGCAATTCGTCTTTTGATTTCCTGGCTGCTAATGCCAAGAGTATTGATTGTGAGGCCAAGGAAGCTGAAATTGTTAACAATCTCAATCTCTTTTCCATCTATCATAGTGCTGCCAATTGAACCAAAAGTGAGAATCTTCATCTTCTTGACATTAAGCTTCAATTCGTAATGAAGATGGAATTCCTTGATCTTCTGTAGCAAATGTTTCAGGTCATTCTGTTTCAGTGAACAAGGTTGTATTATCTGCATAGCATTGATTATTGATGAGTGTTCTTACTCCTTATTTCCTTCTCTTACCTCTGAGAGCTGGTTAGAACTTCCAATACAATACTGGATAGAAGTGGTGATAATGGACAGTGTTGCCTCGTCCTTAATCACAAGGAGAATGTTTTTAGTCATTCTCCATTGAGAATCATGTGGTTCTTGGTTATGTATATATACTTTTCATTATGTTGAAGAGATTCCCTTTTGTACTTCTTTTGTGGAATGTTTTAATAAGGAAGCAGTATTGGATTTTGTTGAAGCCTTTCCGAATCAATTGACAGG